GCAGATGCTCAATGTAGGAGCTGCCCCCTGGTGGTCAGTGCACTCCCACAGGGGGAGCTCTGCTCAGCCACAAGCCAGGCTGCAGCTGCCAGCACAGCAGTGGTGGCGGGAGCCTCTCCCACCTCCTCAGCAGCACTAAGGATGTCCGACTGCAGCTTAGGCCTGCTCCCTGCTGGCAAGTGAACATCCCCCAAGGGCTCCCAGGCTGCCAGAGGAATGTCTGGCTGCCAGCTTAGGCCCGATCCCCCGGGGGATGGGCCTAAGCTAGCAGGTTGACATCCCCCGAGGGGTCCCAGACTGTGAGAGGGCATAGGCCGGGCTGAGGGACCCCCAAGTGCACAAATTTTTGTGCACCCGGCCTCTAGTTAATAGCATAATCTTACACCAAACATCGCATTTGATTTTAGATCTTCTCAGCATTTATTTGACCACCCACCAGCCCAGTACTGCACTAGAGACAGCACACATGTTATCTAATTTAATCTCCCATCCACTCTATGAGAGTACTGAAAATGAAACCCAGACCAAGGAAGTGAAGTTCCATGTGTAAGACCAATCAGCCAGAAAGTAACACCTGGGATTAAGGGAGATAATTATGAAAGCCATGTCAATCAGAAGAAAGATAACTTTCTTCCTTTAAAAAGAGTTACTTTTTCAGCTCTCGGGAAGTTCTTCCTGTTTGGGTCTGTTAGGCTGGAAAAACACAAGACTCAAAGCATACACAGCACTCATATGCTTAGCATCCAAGGAGAAGAGAGGAGCTCTCACAGTGCTTAGGAGAGAGAGTGACTCTTGTTTTCTCCTAGGCCTGAGTTGTTTTAGAAAACATTTTAATACTGGAGGCCTGGGTTATGGATTCGTGCACTGGTGGGATCCCTCAACCTGGCTTGCACCCTCTCGCAATCTAGGACCCTTCAGGGGATGTTGAACTGCCAGTTTCAACCTGATCCCTGCAGGCCTGGTTGGCCATTGAGGATCAGGCCAAAACGGGCAATCCAACATCCCCTAAAAGATGTAGTAGTGCATGAAGCGGCAGGCGGCTGGGGAGGAACCTGAGCACGGGCCGAGTGCTGCGCCGCTACCACTCATCCTGGCTGTGCCAGCTGCCACCACTGCTCGGTACTGCTGCCGCAGAGGCAGGAGAGACTTGTGACGCCACAGCTGCGCTTGCCAGCCATGAGCCTGGTGTCTGGCTCCCATCGGTCAGCTGAGTGGCACTACCGCTGTGGGAGCACACTGACCATCAGGGTGCAGCTCCTGCATTGAGCGTCTGCCTCCTGGTGGTCAGTGCACGTCATAGCGACCCGTCGAATGGTCGACCAGTCAAATGGTCGATCAGTCGCTTAGGGTTTTATAGATAGATAGATAGATAGATAGATAGATATTTACTGTGCTTACAAAAACATCTAACATGACAAGAGAGAGCAATAAAAATTGTACCTGTTCTGAAAAATTTTATGAACAAACCATAGGTTTTTATTTTACGTGCCTTATTATATAAAATATGAATATTTTAATGTAGACTCTCAATAGTTGGAGGATTTGATGTACTGATATAATTTTGTTTCAGCTGTTTTAGTTTTCCTGTAAGGAGATTCTTATCTGTGAGCTTTTGTTAAATCAAGACACATCAGTTACCTGAAAGTTGGGATCCCTTCCAATTTTTTTTATTTTTTAAATATATTTTTATTGATCTCAGAGAGGGAGGGAGAGGAAGAGAGAGACAGAAACATCAATAATGAGAGAAAATCATTGATCGGCTGCCTCTTCCATGCTCCACACTGGGAATTGAGCCCATAACCTGGGCATGTGCCCTGACCTGGAATGGAACTATACCTCCTCGTTCATAGGGGAGTGCTCAACCACTGAGCCATGCTGGCCTGATCATTCTAATTTTTAAAAGCAAAGGATTCATTGGTAGCCTTTGCTTCGTTTGGCATAGGTATGTGATTTTCTTTAGTTCTACAGTGACCTAAATTAGCCACAGAACTATGAAGGATGGCTGAGTGAATAAGTGGTCAGTGGAGGGCACCAGGAGAGCCTTTTCTCCTGTTCCCTGGCACTGATACCCTGTATTTTTTTCAGTCCTATGAAATTATCTGCACTACCACCCAACGCATGACTATTGACTGAAAATGCATTATTAGAAGAAAGGTTGTGGTTTCGGAGTTTACTCCTTTTATCTCCTACAAGATTTCTTTCCATTTTTCCACTAATGCATGAGTACCTCCAGAATTTGATATTCTGAGAACATGTTCCATGAATAAACAAACACATTTGTAACTCTCAGAGTACCAATTAGAAATTTCACTCAATGCAACGATGCTTACATATCCCTGTTCTATAGAAAACAACCGCTTGATGGTTCATTTCAGACTGTTTCCCCATAGGTTTTCTTCATGAGTATCCTCAAAGAGAACCCATGTTTCATTCAGTAGAGTAGAGAATGCTGTGCTGGATCAATTTCAAGATCCTCGCTGGAGCTGTGAGAGCTGAACTAAATAGGCATATGGAAGAGCAAGGTTATTCAATGGAAACAAGACTAGGATGAAAAACCTAGAGTCTGATGTGGCCATGGTATGAAATGAACAGAGAGCTTCTTCCTGTTAGGTGGACTGATATGAGGAGATGCTTATTTTCAAAAGTCATAGGAAACAATGGTTGAAATGGATAAGACCACCCAATTGTCACAGGACATTAATGCAACAGCATGTTTACATTGTCTACTCTAGAAAACGAACGTTAGAGAGCCCAATTGGATGATAGCAATAAAAGAGGCATGAGGTTGTAATCACTTGGTCAGTCAAGATTCAACCTCTGTTGTTCTCTTCTTAAATAATTTTAAATACGTTTTCTAACTGGCAAAGGAGCCACCATGGCTTTGTCATTTACAAATTGATTCAAGAACTTCATATCGTAATTTATTTCATTCTAGCACAACCTTATGCAAGACTTCCATAATTTTATTAAATAACAAAAGTGATATTGAATCTTTCTTAGAAATTGTTTAGAGTCAGCATTTTGCAAACATTCTTGGCCAAAGTCTGCTCTTGCTTTTGAGAAAACGTCAATTTTTTTGCCCAGTGGAATACCAAAATTCTATTCTGAAATTAAGCTTGTAAACATAACAAGTTTAAATAATGTAAATTTTGCTCTAACCACTTTGGATCAGTGGTTAGAGCATCAGCCCAAGGACTGAGCCCAGAGGGCCGGTACCTCCGGCTGTGATCCAGGGGCATATGCATGCAGGGAGGCAACCAATGTCTTTCTTTCTCTCTGTCTGTTTCTCCTCCTTCCTTCCAAACTCTCTAAATATCACTGCAAAAAATATCCTTGGATGAGGATTAACAACAATAAAAAAGTAATTTTTTAAATAAAAGTGTTTGTAACCTTATAAGGTAAAACTTTAGCAGAAGTGCATCCTATCCTAAGGTTGGCTCTGGTTAAATCCTTCCCTTGGTCAACATTTACTGAGCACTTACAATCAGCGGGGCCCTCAGAGTGAACAAGATACAAACCTGCCCCTCCATGATGTCAGAATGGAATGGGGAAAGGACACTTTCACTGATAATCACTACACAGTGCAGTAGGTTCATAATAGAGAGCAACATCCATTTCTAAGGCTTTTGTTTCATTAGAGTCAATGAGGGAAAAGCCATGTTCTGGGCAAGTAAGGGCATGTCAGTTGTCTTCCTGGTTACTTTTTTTTTTACTGAAGGAAAAGGCTCATGAGGCAGTGGAGAAGGTACATTCAGTCATAGCTGGGGGGATGCAGGTTCCACCTTTTACTAGCTCTGAGCAAAACTCTGTCTTTGTTTCCTCATGTGGAAGAAGATGGTGTAATAGGGTGAATGGGAGGGTTAAGATAATGAATGTAAAATGTTTAGAATAGTGTGTTGCACATATTTAATAATGTTATTATTTTACATGCTTTGTGCTCTCCTTAAAGACAATTAATTACCCTCCAATGCTCTCTTCCTTTAGATTGTCAGTCAATAATATATAAACTTAATAATGGAAATGAGAAATAGCCAGTTTGGCTCAATGAATAGAACATCAGCCTACAGACTGCAGGATGGCAGGTTGGATTCCATTCAAGGGGAAATACCTCGGTTGTAGGCCCAATCCCCAATCCTGGTCTCCCCATAATAGGCATGTCTCTCTCACATCGATGTTTCTCACTCTGTCCCCATTCCTTCCACTCTCTAAAAATCAATGGAAAAATTACTTCAGGTGAGGATTAACAAAAATAAAATTAAATAATGGAAATCAGAAGTAAATATAATACATAAACTAGAAAATCAGAAAAAAAGGAAAAATGAATACTTCCAACTAGACTTAGCACTGGACAAGCTTGCCTCTTGCCTAGGTTCTTTACTCTCTCCTATGTACTCAGACACAGGGTGATCACACCACCCTGGATCAGATAGAGCCCTTTACTGAGAGTCTCAAATCTAAAGGAGACCTAGTTCATAGGCCACAAAAAGGAGACCTAGTTTATGTGCCTTATCTGAACACTGTTATTTATTTTTTTTAAGTATTTTTTATTGATTCAGAGAGGAAGGCAAAGGGAAAGAAAGAGAGAGAACCATTGGCTGATTGCTTCCTGTATGCCTCCCACTGGGGATCAAGCTCCAACTCTAGCATATGCCCCAACCTAGAATCCAGCCGAGAACTCATGATTCATAGATTCACACTCAACCACTAAGCCACATGGACCAGACTTCTTTTCAATTTAAAATCTTTTCATTTAATGAGTATATTTCACCAGTTAAATAAGAACAACAAACCAAATGAACAACCTTCCTAATATAATGTGTAGTTGTGATTGGGATGAAAAACCTGAAACAGATATATATGTCAAACAAAGATGATTAGAAGGTAACATTCACTGAAAAGCTGGTAACTAAAAAATGTCCCAATTAAGACAAGACATTGATAGGAATGGTCCATGAGAAAAGTTTATTTAAATGGTTTCATGAAATGTGAAAACGGGAAAAAGTAGTAAAAGTCTTGAAATGATTTCACATATGCATATGTAATTAATTAGTAAAAGAAGAAGAAAATCATCTCTCCTCCCACATCAGTACATTTCTACAGTCTTTAGAGTCCTGATCAGAGCCACAGCTGCTGTCAATGCCCACTTCACATTTGCTCTACTGAGCCTCCTTCCACCAAGTGTATGAAGAGTTTGCTATAAAAGACTTCTTCCAGCACTACTTATTTTCTGCTTTTGGTTTTTCCTCTTTTAATTCCTTCTTCTCTCCTTGTGTAACTGCTTCTCCACTTTCTTCTGGAGCTTCATGTGAACATGGAAATAAATTCTTTCCAGTCCCCATACCAGCACCAAAAAGTACACCAAACATCATTGCAAAAAGACAACAACAGCAACAGCAAATTGTAAATAAAAAAAGTACTGCGAAAAATAAAAAGGGGATTATCAACACAACCTCTTCCTTGGCTTTCCTTTCATCTCCATTCTCTCCTCTGCCAAAATTACCATGATCAACACTATGACTTTTCCTTTCTTCCTCACTTAGATTTTCATCCTCAATTTTGCCAGGAGAACCACTGTCCACACTCCCCCCATTTCCTGGAGTCCTGCAGTCGGGGGGTGCATAGCCAGCCTCACAGTGGCAGTGCCTTACATTGTTACAGACTCCTCTCCCATTGCACATTTCTGCTGGTCTGCAGTCATAGTTGAGCACAGCATGATCAGTGCAGGAGTAATTCATGCAGACTTTGTTTGGGGCACAAGCAGTGCCAGAGTGCACATCTCCCTCATCAGGGATATCAGTAATGTTATAGACATCCAAGCTCCAGCAGAAGTCACCTTCATAAGGAATCTGGATCAGTGTGTGATGGGGTTTGATGGATGGGATGATGGATGGGACCCGTCTAATATTTGTACATATAATTTTCCCACAAAATACATTATCATCAAAGCACTTAACATATCTTGACATTGCTGAGGTGGGATGGCCACAGTTTCCAAACCGGTCCCCTTTGCTGTTCATTGAAATGTAACAGTTTTCTGGGGCTGACCGTGCAGTGTCCCCATACATAGCCATGCATTGGTTATCAGGGTTCCTGCATTGACCCCCAACACAGTAGTGCAGTCTACCGCATGACGTCCCATCTTGCTTATAGGTGTCTGTGGGGCACTCTGCAGAGGTACCATCACAATACTCTGGGAGGTCACACTCTCCCAAAGCAGAACGGCACATGAATCCCTTATTCTTCAGTCGGCAACCAAAACAGCAGAGTCCATCACTACATTCTGCACTCCCCTTCAGGCTACATGTTTGGTCACAGCACGGGTCAGTGTAACAGGCAGAACCACAGTCACACTGCTCCTCACCCTCCACCACACCGTTTCCACAGTAGGAATCCCTACGCAAGCGGCCTTTGTGCCGCTGAGGGTTGTTAAATAGGCAGGCCCCTCTGTGTTCCTGGAGGAACTGGTAGAAGTCGTCAGAGCTACAGTTGCTGAAGCCACTTTCTTTAGTGATATTGTCACGCATGAGGCAGAGGGGTTTGTCTTTACAAATGCAGGCTGAGTGGTCGTGCCGAATACCCAAGTTGTGCCCAAGCTCATGGACCATGAGCGCTGCAAACAGCAGGACATCTTCATGATGGAAGGATTCAACAGCTGCTGCAAAACCACTTGAGCAGGCACCATTGAGAAATGCCTGTCCCATACCCTGTGCAGGATGCTGTCCGACAATCATGTGGGCAACATCATGCTTCACACGATGGAGGAGCTTCTCTTGTCTCCAGCTGTTGAAATTCCCGAGTGTAACTTGCAGGTCCACTGGGACCTCTATGAGGTCCCCCTCGGTCCAAATCTCCATTCCAGCCAGCACCACCTCTGTGTTTATTTCCCTAGTGAAGCTGTTGGCCAGGGCAATGATGTCTATCACCCTCTGGACCGTCTCATTGACGTTACTGCCCCACATTTGGAACCGCTGGTTGTTGACCACAACAAACATCTCCACATACTTGGTGAGTGACCACAAGTAGGACAGCTCCTGTAGACCGCCAGGCTTCCTGCTCCCTTGTTGTTGGCTGGTGGACACCACTGGGCTGTCTTTGGAAGTGACACTGCAGGAGACTGGTGCTTGATGGGCCATGGTGTACAACACATGTTCAAACCGTTTTGAAGAGTCCATGGGCTCTATGCCATAGGATTTTCCCTCTTTAATCAGGATGCCCCTGAGGCCCGAACAGGTGTTGACAGAAACGAAAGAACCCGGGAGTGCTTCTATGTAGCCTTCATAGTGACAGTCATGTGAGATGAAAGGCATTTCTTGTCCCAGGATGCCATTGTGGTAGCTGAAGACTGGAAAGTTCTTGATATAATAGTCTGTCTTCACTTTCAGGTGAATCACCTCTTTCTGGCCCTGAATACATAACATATAAGAAGCCTCTTCCACTGGGTCTTGTCTTCCATGAACTGTCAGAGCCTTGGGAATGACTATTTCATAGGATGAGTAATATACTGATCCCAGGTCACAGTACAGGCTTGGCAGCAAACTCAGTACCAACACCAGCACAATCCCCAACCTGACACGTGAAGATCCTGGCACCAGTACCAGCACCAAGCCCTTCATCTGGGCAGTCCAGGTCTGAAGCACTCTGCTTGTCTCATACATCATAACCTCTTGGTTCTTCTGTAGAGAAGGCAAGGAGGAGGCAGACTCCCTCACATAGGCAGCCACTGACATGGCCCCAGTGAATCAGTGGCTGATGTAGTGCCTGGGTCCATGAGCAGCAGCACTCCTTGACATGCAGACCCTTAGGGTCTGGGATTAGCTTCAGGTGTTTGCTGGCTGTGTAAAGGGTGAGTACTGCCTACTTATGGCTGTGTCCTTTCTAGTCTCTCTGACCTCTGTGTTATCCTTCAGATAGTGTCCTTTCTGTGGTTTAGTTCCGTATCATTAGCTTCAGTGATCCTTGGCTATAGTCCTTTTGATGTTGTGATGTAATAAGAAAGACTGCAAACTGTAAAGTGCAAGATTGTACCTTGAGAGAGGAAACAAAACCTCCGTGCCTTCTTCAACTGTGCCATACGGAACACCCCCAACTACTGTGTCCGTTGCTCGGCCAACTCCTAATGTTCCAGACCAGGGGGCTTGAAGATCATTGGTGGGCAGTGTGCCCCATTGCCCCTTTCCCCTCATCTAAAACTCTTGCTCTGTAACACATGGTCATCAAACTGAAGTTGTTCTTGATCCCTCAATGATGCTTTTATAGTAATATGCACATCTCTCAGGCCAGTCTGTTAGATAGGCAAGGGACTGGCTTCCCTGTGCTCCAGGATAGACCTAAGTGGGCTGGTGACCATGGGGCAAGGGACAATACTCTAATTTTTTAACATCATCAAAATTCATCCTCTCAAATTTTTTTTATAACATTGCCAAAAAATGTGTATGGGAGAAGCCAACAGAGCAGCCTTATTTTATGTATGATTTTCATGGGCACGTTGGCTCCAGGCCCACACCATTCTTTGGATGGCTTAGACATGTTGGTACCCTAAAATTAAGCCAATTAAAGACTAGGTATCCCCAAAGTCTCCCTGTGTTAGAAAATGTTCTACAATAGCCTAGCCGGTTTGCTCAGTGGTTAGAGCAGGGGTGGGCAAACTTTTTGACTCGAGGGCCACAATGGGTTCTTAAACTGGACCGGAGGGCCGGAACAAAAGCATGGATGGAGTGTTTGTGTGAACTAATATAAATTCAAAGTAAACATCATTACATAAAAGGGTACGGTCTTTTTTTCAATAGTTTTATTCATTTCAAACGGGCCGGATCTGGCCCGCGGGCCGTAGTTTGCCCACGGCTGGGTTAGAGGGTCGGCCTGCAGACCCAAGGGTCCCAGGTTCGATTCTAGTCAGGAGTACCTACCTCAGTTACAGGCTCCTTCCCGGCTCAGGCCCTGGTCGGAGCTTGTGCAGGAGGCAACTAATCGATGTGTTTCTCTCACATCAATATTTCTGTCTTTCCATATCTCTTCCACTCTCTCTAAAAAAATCAATGGAAAAATATCCTCAGGTGAGGGTTAAAAAAAGAAAGAAAGGTTATCTACATGTATCCAGTGCCCAGTTCTGTTTTCATCCTTATTCACCCAGGTTCAAGAGTAGATAAATTAACCAGGCCAATATGGTTCAGAGATTGAGCATTGACCTAGGCTCCATGAGGCCACTGGTTAGATTCTGGATCAGGGCACATGCCTGCGTGTCATGCTGGATCCTCACATTGATGTTTCCTTCTCAGATGTTTCTATCTCTCTCCTCCTTCCTCTCTTTCAAAAAATCAGTAAGAACATATTGTTAATAAAAGAGTAGATTAACTAGAATTACTAATTGAAGGAATAAATGACTCCCAGGTAAAAGTGCGGTCATGTCTCATCTGTTGTATGTTATTTGTTTGCGCTTGCATCAGACCTGCCCTGAAAGAATGAAAATGTCTCTAGAAAAACTATGTGGACAAATGGTACATTCGTGAACTCAAAATGTACCTCCCTCTTCCTACATTTTGCTGGTCACTTCACTTCCCTAATGTCTTCGTGCCTCATATTTCCCTGAGAAAAATAAAAGCAATCAAGAGCACTTTCACATGGAGACACCACATGAGTCACATGTATCTAAATTTTCCTCCAACTCTGGTGGATAAATTGTCCATATTCCAACTAAGGCCAGTTCTCCTACTTGTGAGTGGGGTCTACTTCCCTTTCAGTTTCTCATGAACTTCACTTTTTGAACTGTCCCTTCTGTCTTTTATTTCCAAAACATGTTTGTCCATTGGATTCAATCTCATTATATGCAGTAATGTTTCATCTTTATCAAACCTTCACTCTCAACCCACATCACTCTCCAGTCACCATCCAAAATCTCCTCTAGACCACAAACTTACACCATACACAAAAATAAACTCAAAATGGATAAAGGATTTAAACGTAAGATGGGAAACCATAAAAATCTTAGAGAAATCCACAAGCTGCAAAAATCTGACATATGTCGAAGCAATATCTTCAGCCTAGGACAGTGGTCGGCAAACTGCGGCTCGCGAGCTACATGCAGCTCTTTGGCCCCTTGAGTGTGGCTCTCCCACAAAATGCCATGTGCGGGTGCGCATGCAGTGCCATTGAAACTTCGTGGCCCATGCGCAGAAGTCAGTTTTCGGCCTGGGGGAGTCTATTTTGAAGAAGTACTGTTGATATTTGGCTCTGTTGACTGAGTTTGCCGACCATTGGCCTAGGGCAATGGAAACTAAAGAGAAAATAAACAAATGGGACGACATCAAAATAAAAAGCTTCTGCACAGAAAAGAAGCCTGTCCCGACCCGCGGGACAACAACGGGGGAACGAAGAGACACCCTAGGAGAATGAAACAAGCAAGGGACACGAAAGAATGGAGGCAAGACAAGTTCTGATCAAGCCTCAAACTTTATTCTCACAGCGGCAGGATATATACTGTTTTAGGGAAGGGGGGTGGGTAAAGGGGTCTATGGGCAGTAACCTATTACTAGTGATTTAGGATGGCTGTGCTTATTAGCGGAGATGTGTGATTTAGCAGACTCTGGATGGCTGTGTGCTTATCAGTGGAGATATGTGATTTATCGGCTGTGTGAGGGTAGTTTATCTTTTAACTGCTGGCCAATTTGCAAGACACAGGTGGTTTCTGGTAATTAGGAGTTTCTGGAGGAGCCAGAAACTTATAGTTCTTAAGATGGCTTTGTTTAAGCCAATATCTTTAATGGCTCCCAACAATTCCTCCCTTTTTCTTTATTAAGGGTGGGCTTTAACCGACTGGGGGAGTAGGGACCTGGTTCCTCCCGTGGGATGGTGGGATCCCACCGTCAGTGGCTCTTGGTATCTTTTGGGGAGGAGAGGCAGAGCCGATAGTTATGTATGGATACCAACCTCTATGCAAACCAGGTGTGCTCACAGGGAAATCCAGAGGCGGTCGAAAATTTTTGTGACCTTCCCTTGCAGTGCTTTGCCGTGCACCCAGGTCGGTGCCCATGCCTTTCTCCTTCTATGGGGAGTAGGCAAGCATCCCTCTGGCGTCATGCTGTCCCCGCAGGGAGGGAGTTTTAGCAGTCATTATAATCACATTCACGGTCTAACATGGCTAGACAATGGTAGTGTACCTGAATGGGTTTGGCCAGGATGCTATCAACCTGCTGTTTTACAAAGTCTGTTAATTTTCTAAAAGCCCAGGGGCCGAAAGCTAGGATTAGGAGAAGGCTTATAAGGGGGCCGAGAACAGGGAGCAGGTAGGGCAGGAGTCCGTTCAGTCCGCTCCAAAGGGGGTTCTCGAATAATTCTTTCCGTCTCTTCACTAGATCTTCTTGTAACTTCTTTATCTTGTCTCGGACGATCCCGGATTTGTTGGCATAGAAGCAGCAGCGTTCCTGTAGGGCCAAGCATATTCCTCCCTGTTCTGCTGTGAGCAAATCTAACCCTCTTCTATTTTGTAGTACTACTTCAGCTAATGAATCTATCTGATCTTGGAGATCATTGATAGTGCCTGAGAGAGCTTGGACATCATCAATTAGCTGGTTAGATAATTTATTATAGGTGTGTAATGCTGTCCCTAATCCGGCGGAACCGGTAGCTACAGCTCCTTTTGGCAAAAAAAAGTCAAGAGAGGTCAATACAGAATGCTTAAGTGCCTTCCCCAGGAGGGGATAAATCCCTTCACATTCTCAAAATATCCAAAGTAAATGTTAATTTGTAAGTTTGTTTGGGATAAATGCACAATATACTGTTGTAAAGCATCAAAACTTATGAATAAAACTTGTAGAATAATACCATGTAAGAATATTCTTTGCTCTAGGTCATGACACCTTTAATTTTCTAAACTCAAGGTTTGGAATGAGGAACCTAGTTTTTTTAAAAAAAAAGACATTTAGAGAAGCAGAGACAGTATGCTATCTAAATTACAGTTTTGGGTAAACACATTATCTAGAGTCCTTGGGTAACCTAGGTAAAACTTAGGCATGTTATCTGAATTAGTTTTTACCTGAATTAATTGTTATCATACTTCACTTTACCGTGCCCCAGGTGGTCTCTGGGCTGTTGGTTGTCTGGTTTGTCTTCCTCCTGCTCCTCATCTTCAGTGGACTGCTTGGAGTCGCTGCTCTCTGTGGCTGAGGTAGTTGATTGTTTACAGCTACATGTTATGGCTCCAGGCGCAAGATCTTCAGTCTGGCTAGATTCCTGATGCAGTTTAATATTTCTAGCAGGAATCCATACGGGTTTGGAAAAATTCTCTGGGAATATACAAGCATAGCCTCTGCCAAAGGTTAATAATGGGTCAGGTCCCTTCCATAAACCAGATTCGGGATCCTTCCATTTAACTAGACCATTTTCTTTTGTTTTATTCTGACACCAATGTAGCTCCATAGGTGTCTTTCCATCAGCATCACAAGTGAAAAAATTTTAGAGTAATTAAAGCTAGGTGCAGCCTACCTGAAGGTGATTTCTCCATCATCCCCCTTTTTTGTTTTTCAAGTTGGGATTTTTAAAAGCTGATGAAACTCTGAAGCCTCTTTTAATAAAGCAACCAATTGATCAGCATGTGCATTTTCCTTAGTTAATGGGCCAGGTAATACACTGTGAGCCCTGATATGGGTGATATAAAAAGGGTATTTTCTCTGCTGTACAATCTGTTGAACTTGCTTAAATAGTAAGAATAAACTTTGGTCACCGGGCAGTTTCAATTCTACTTACTAGGCCCGAATCATAAGAGGAATCAGAAATTATGTTAACAGGCTGTTGGAAATCTTGCAATGCAGCCTTAATAGCTTCTAATTCAATTCTTTGCACAGAAGTATGACTGGTCAGTATGACTCTGTCAGAATTTATAGTATGATAGGCAGCTTTCCCATTTGATGATCCATCAGTAAAAACAGTTAAAGCTCCAGGAATTGGTTCCTGCTTAGTGTTTTTTTTGGCATAATGATGGAGGTCTTATATAAAAATTGTAAAAGTTTATCTTTTAATAGTTGACTGCTAAGTTCCCCTGAATATCCACTTAGCCCAATTTGCCAATTTTAAGTCAGTTTGAAATAACATTTATTCTTTTAACTTTACTTGTCCTAAGTTATGGACAGTAAATGACATTAATTAAATTTCTGGTATTAGTCTTTAAGTAAATTTACATAAACTTTGTTTAAGGAGGCAAAATACAAATTATTTAATTTAGCTTATGAGGCCCAACATATTGATTTTTAATTTTAGTTAGACATCTGAAGGAAAACTCTTTTTATTTCCTTCTAGACAGTTTTCTTTCTCACACAAGCAACAAATGTAAGGAACATGGTTGCCTTTTGAGATTTTAACAAATACTGTGGCAAAGCTATATATTTCAAGTGATTTTTCATTTATGGTGACTAACTATTGTCAGATTTAGTATTTTAACAACAATCTGTAAATGTTAGTGGAAGATATTTCAAAATATTAAAATTTCTTCTTTTTATTAAATTTAAAATAATGTTTTTTAGACAGCGTTCCCTTTCGGCTTATTTGCATATACAGAGGGATCATGGGAAGCCTTCAGTAACTTTTTAGAAGAATTTTACTTTACTAGGATTCAATTGCTTACAAAGATTAGTAAATTCAGTAAAGCTTTATGTCTGATACACGAGGTGCAAATGCTGCCCC